GACTGAGTCAACACAGCCTGCCCTCAAGAGACTGTGGAGAGAGAGAGAGAGAGAGAGAGAGAGAGAGAGAGAGAGAGAGGAGAGACTGCATTAATACAGATTATTAAAGATACTTTGTCTTAAAAAAAGGTTGAGATATCAGAGAAAGTAAAAAAAAAATAAAGTTTTAAAAGTTACCTGTTAAGTTACATTATTGTACAGTACTCTGTATTTCACACCAGAACTGATCCTTTATAAATGGAAGATGCTTTGAATGTTCAGCCAGATTTGAGTTTCAGTGAATTTTAATGATTACCACTGAAATGTAATGTGTTCTTACGTGAGGTGCAGGTGATGATCATCCAGATGAAGATGGTGATTAAAGCCATGATGGCTTTTTGATGTTTGATCATGTAGATCAGCTCTCAGTCATGAAGTGTTAAACTCTCCCAGAGCAATGAAGCATGAGCTGCTAATGCAAAGTGTCTTCAGCAAGAAAACACTCTTCCTTCCACGAGAAAACAAAAGTGAAAAATCAAATGACCACCGAGGACACATGAGGACTCAGTTCTACTATTTGCTTCAGTGCTGCAGTATAAGCTTGAAAATGATGTTATAATTTTCACTACTTTGTTATGCAATATGGCAGGGAAGAATGGCCTTATAACCTGATCATGCTGCTAACCCAATGTCCAATATCTTGTGCTACTACATGGTGCAAAGCTGTGGGATAATTTGTAGAATAAACATGCTGCTTTCATGTGCAATTAAAAGTGCTACAGTTAATTAGTTTCTTCTCAATTAATGGTTTTACTTATTTTGTAGCTTGTAAAATGCTACACTAAGAGAAAGGTTTTGGATCAATGGCTTTCAAAGCTTTATAGATCTCTACACTGAATATAGGACTAAAAAACAAAAGGGTCCCTGGGTGCATCACTACAAGCTCAAGGTGTCACAACATTGCAGTTAGACCTCCAGGACCCTACCACATAAGTACTGAAAACGGACCCAACTGATATAATATGCTGATTTAAATGCTTCATAATATCATCTTTATTCAGAATTTCTGTTGAGTCAACTAGATTATATAAAGTGAATTTCAGGGTAGCCTTGAATGCTTGCATTTTGTAATAGAGTAATGTGTTTAAGTAATGAGTTTCATAAACAAAGAAGTGGTTATTTACAAATGGAATGTATTTTTAGTTGATTATTATGAATGCTTACATTTTAAAATCGTGGGAAGAGCACTGAAGCATGAGCTGCTAATGCAAAGTGTCTTCAGCATGAAAATCATCTTCCTGACTGCAGAAAACAAAACTGAGGGGTCAAATTGAGGATAACTAAACAGTCAAATGACCAGCTAGTGATTATAAGAAGCCAAGAAAGTTCCACTAAAGAGGAGACAGTTGTCTTGGTGATCGTGCTGAGCATCAGGTGAAGAGAAAAGAATGTCAGGTGTTTTATGATCAGGGCAGGAGTTCACTGTATGTGTAGCTGAACTAACCACAGCCTTAAGTTCACCAGCAAAAGAATGAAGGAGATCATGCTAGACAAAAAACCCATTGGTGAAGGAGACCAGAGCAGCTGCTACTCTCACAGAAACAAGGAGGGGACACTGACCAGGAGTGTCCTTTCTGAGGTTGAATCTCACAAATATGGACCGAGGCTGAAGGTGTATTTTATTACTGTATGAGCAATGAGTTTTATAATAAAGGATGTCTAGTCTATATCCCATACAGAGTTCACATTGTGGGTCACCTGGTGGGAGGTATGCAGTGACCTATATATTATCAATTTGTAACAATTTCGGATATGTAGTGGACACCACCTGGATTCAGCTTACAAAATGGTGTGTACAAGACCTCTCCACAACCCCAAGAGCTAATAGCTTTAGTGCCCTAAAGTCAAGCTCCTTATGGTACTTGAAATGTATTTCATTCATTCAGTCATGGTGAATCAGAGGTCACTCCTGTGCAGGAGGCGTCCATAGATCGTGTATCACCAATTAGAGTTGGAGACGGTGAATAGATAATCACCCTTATTTAAAAAGGACCTATCTGGCTCCACCCCAAGAGGGGATGGCCTAAAGTCAGAACAAACCCCAACGCAATGCATTTTTAGGGTTAGTTGGAAGAAAGAAAGCAGAGAGATGACATTTATGTTAGTACCGGTCAAGACCAGAGTATATAGAATGTTTACTATCAGATTTGAGGAACTTTTTTGTTTGTCTTTGTGTTTATTTTGTTTGTTTGCATCCACCTTAAGCCTTTCAAGCCACGCTTAGAGATGAAGTGAAGAAGTCTGTCGCATGGCCAATGACTGATTAACTCACTTCATCTTAGAAAAAAATGAGGAAGTTAGTTTACAGTTAGCGTCACGCAGCCTCAAAATCTGAGTGTTCCCAGAACCGTCACCCTGCTGAGTCTGAGAAGTCCAGTCAGTCCCAAGCACTTTGGAACTGCATCATTACCTGCCACCAAACCCATGCATTCACCAGTCGTCGTGGGCAGACCAAACACCTGGAAGGTGGTGAAGCTCTCCTCCTGGAGTCACTGCGACATACAAGCCACCAGTCGCTGACCGAAGCTGCTTCGAACATCTGGCTGCCCCGCTGCTGCAGTAAAGCTGCTTCCATTGATGTGAACCAGACCCACAGCACTTAAGCATCTCCAGATCCTCCCAAGGCTTCGGTTCAATGCCATCTGGAAGGGTTCCATCTCACCTTCTCGAAAATAAGGCAGTGTTCTCTCTTTTATATATTAAAACACTACAACATACAGGACAGTGGTGCCCCAAGAACAGGACTGAGAACTGCCTGGGCTAAAGAATGACTAACCAAGATTTTGCATCAATATGTTACAGTCTGTACCCAGGAAGGTGGAGCTATATAGGACACATTTCTAATAAACTGACCAGTGTATATATACATGTATGTGTATGTATGTGTATGCAGTGTTTAAATTCCTAGACATGCTGCTGCAGACAGGCACTCCACTCAAGTATTATAAAACATTTTAAACTTTGGCTAGATCCATTGATTTCTAAGCAGCTGTAATGTCCCCGCCTCCTGCTAGGCCACCTCCAGCCACTAGGGGGAGACAGATAATCAAGATGAGCTGGTTAGGGCTGATCGTGGTCAGCTGTTGAACACCTTCTTTAAGGAGAGCTCACACACAGGTCTCTGCTCAGTCTTGAGTTCATGCTGCCTCATGTGCGTTTCTCCGACTAGCCGGTATTGGTATTTTGTGGATCCAGCCACAAACACATAGAGAGTGCAACACATAGAGAGTGCCTGGCAGTCACATGAAGTACAAATATGGCAACACAAAGGAAGTCGCACAACTAAATCTCTTAGTGAGTATTTAGAAATAGTAGAATTTTGGCTCTGGAGATTTTGGCACCAAGTTTTAGGTAGGCTGCTACATGACAAAGCAATTTAACAGTTCTTTGCTGTAAGATGAAAACATTGGTTAAGGGAAAGGTTTTGATAACTAAACAATGTTTTCAGTTTCATCATGTACTTAGGCTGTGACATCTTAAAACAAATAGAAAGTTTCATTTTTCTGTTATTCTTTGTTGTTTACTTTTTACATTTATGAAATAAATGTTTTTATTTGTATGGTGTGGTGTGCCTGCCCGGATGAGAAATTGAACCTCAAAGTACCACAGTGAAGACAGTGATGCTACCCAGTGATGTTGTGGTCAGGACATGTTATTTGTTATAAACTATCCATATCTTCTCTGAGAGTGCTCTTGAATGTAATGTATTTGTTTATTCTCTTAAGGAAACTGACTAATTGTTCTGAAATACTGTGTGAAAATGAACAGAAATAAAATAAATATATTTTGTTTTTTATTTTCAAAAAACTTCCCTCCAATTTTCATGAGATGTCAGTTTGTAATAAGATTCAAAGATGTAGTTACCATGTTAGAAACACAGCAAATCCTGACCCAAATAAATGTTACATTTGTGTTATCTTAATACATTTTATGAAATTAATTTTAAAATGATGCTTTTCTTATGAAAGTTTCAAACAATTTCTGAGAAGCTATAAAAACAATTGATATGATGAACAGATGAACAGAGCTGTAAGTGATTTAATAATAACTGAGGTAGCAGTATCATATTGAGAATTATAATGAAATTAATGTCCAGAATACCTCATATTTGAAAAGCTGGGACCAAATCTTGCTGAACATGTATCATAATAATCTGGGACCAACAACAAACATCATTTTACGTTTGGTGCCTATTTTATAACATTAACACTACAGAGGTTATTATTGAACTGTAGCGGGACAAGGCCACTAAAACCACCTATTTTCCCACTTACCATAAAAACAGATACTTAGATTAATCTCAGTTTAGGGTTTGCCTGTGGTCGGGGATCGTATTTGATCAAATTGTGATAATTACATGCACAGAACCACCAGTGATGACTTCAGTAAAGGGTTATTTAATTTTGATGAAAGTACATAAGCACTAAATGATGGATTACAAAAGGTATATAGGAACCAAATTGTAGATTAACAGTTATGAAGAGAAACCAGAGGTATTAAATTCACCAAACAAACTTACTCTAATTAGCTGAGACTCGAAATTATCATATGGCTTTTGAGCAGCAAAGAGAACAATACTAACACTAGTGCAGGAATGGCCTAGGTTTGGATAAAAGGGAAATAGTCACAGCGAGACTGGAATCACATAAAGTAGATTAGATTAAGTGACCCTTATTAGTCCCACAACAGGTAAATTTTACCTTCGCATTTAACCCATCCCTGCAGTGAAACACCACATACACACTAGTAAACACACACACTAGGAGGCAGTGAGCACACTTGCACGGAGCGATGGGCAGCCCTATCCGCAGCTCCCAGGGAGCAGTTGGGGGTTAGGTGCCTTACTCAAGGGCACTTCTGGTCACACGGCTGGTTCCCTAACCTCCAGCCTATGACTGCCCCACAGTAGCAGTGTGAATAAGTCTTACGACCTGATGCTTCAGACAGAGCCATGGTGATCCATGTGCCAAGAAGCCTTCTGCTCGTGTGGGCTGGAGAAGGGTCAATGGGTCAAAAGCGAGGCAGATGAAGACATGAACCTCAGGGGTGCCGCATCTGATAGGACCGGAAAGGTGAGGCAGGCTTTCAGCTGGCTCGTGTCAGCCTCTGGTGAGGAAGGCGGCTCCCCAGTTTGGCTTGCAATGGTTGGCTGGTGAAGTCAGGCCACAGCTTTATGCAAAGGTTGCTGGAGCAGACTCTTCAGGTGGATTTCACTCAGCACTGTGTTTGCTTCTGTTTCTATGTTTGTAGTGACCTATTGTTGCTATAGACATTAAAGACATTAAAAAAGAATCAACAAAACTTGAAAACAAACACAGCTAAATGCAGCTATTCAATGTATAAACACAGTCTAGCAGTTAACAATACTTATTCAAAATAGCCAAGTATGCTTCCAAATAACATTTATTAATATGTCAAGTGTTTCCCTCTGTATGCTTGATTGATGATGTCATTAAGGTAGTTTCAGAGGTCAAGCACAGCAGCAGTGCTGCCTTTCTTTTTGTTCTGTTACAAACAAAAGTACCTTTTTCTTTGTCAAGTGAGTTACTATGATACAACAACGATAGTACAGAGCTGTTAACGATGTATTTCACTCTAGGTAGACGTCCAGCAAACTATAAGCCAGCTCACTGTTTTCCGTTACACCTTAAAAATGTGGCTTCTATCACTTTTGTAGTAAAGGCAAAGCAAGACAAATTTATAAAGCCCATTTCTTACACAATTATTAGCACCCTGAGTGAGGAAAGTCAAAGAATTACTACCTATCACTGGATGAATGGCAGCTATAAGTTGATTATACTTTAAATGAATACAAATAAAAACTGAATTAAACACTGGGATAACACTGCATATAACAGTTTACCTCAAAGAGTATAAATTAAACAGGATAACCATTGCACAATTATACTTGTGCCTTCTCCATAAGCGAGGAGAAACTTCTAAAGTAGGATAACAGTGCTTTTAACCCCAAGAGAGATAAACTTAGGATAAAAAAACATTTTCCTCAACAATGTATGGACTGTTAATTAATCCTCTGGCACACTAAGTTTTTATAGAGCAGAGAGTAAAAAGGACAAAAAATAGCAAAGTGCAAAAATACAAATACTTAAGAAAAAAACAAATAATGAAAAAGTAGTTGAAGGTCTAGGCAGTTTCTTTTCACAGTGGTAAAGCCAGGTCATTTTTTCATTTTGGGTGTCCAGATATGAGGCAATTCACTGTTTAAAAATAATGTAGTTTTTCCAGGAAAATATATAAATATAAAAATGACTTATTTTGAAAAATGTCTCAGTAAAATGACCTAGTAGTCCATATTAATATCTTATAAAACATATATATGAATGTGAAACGTACATACGAATGTTGATTTATGAAGAAGTTATAAAGTGTTTATGTAAGATGTTGCGAATGTGTTATGTAGACAACCTTCAAATAAAGTGTTACCCAAGGTTGGGATAGCTACTGAAAAATTAGTAGCGACTTCACCGTGACCGTGAATGAGAAGCGCGTGACCGTTTGCTCAAACTGTCCGTGGCTCAGTCAAGATTGCACAGTTGCTACTAGCCCAGTTAACGACTGCATTCTATGGTTTAAATTTTGTGCTGATTGCCTGAAGTCTGTAGCGAAATTGTAGCGAAAATTATCGCTATAGCTACACAAACATTTGTAGAGGCTACAGCTATTAGCTACAAATATTTGTAGTTAACCACAAAATGTAACGCGCTACTTAGCTATTCTCCCATCCCTGGTGTTACCCTACTATCACAGATGCTGGCTTTTAAATTGTGAACTGAAAACAAGCTGAATGGCCCCACTTCTCTTTAGCCTAGAGAGCACGGTGTCCATTATTTCCAAAATGATTTTCAAATTTTGATTCATCAGACCACAGGACACTTTTTCACTTCTCCTCAGTCCATCTTAAATGAGCTGGGGCCCAAAGAAGGCAGCAGTGTTTCTGGATCCTGTTTATATGTGGTTTCTTCTTTGCATGGTAGAGTTTTAACTTACATTTGTGGAAGCAAAACAATGAGATTGCGAACACAACACTCACACTGCGCTGCACAGCTGTTCGATTTTAAAATGGCAGGCAATGCATTCTACTTAGCTTTGCAAATCACTTTGAGTTGTTCAGCCTGGCTAGTGCTCTGTTTTACTTTCTGTCTTTCTGGGGAGGAAACGTAAAAGAAATATTTGCTGATGATATGTGTGTCTGCTACAGTTCCCCTTTGGAGTGAGTAAAAGTGATAGCAGGTCACCTTTATCTTCTCTAAACAATACATTCTGACATAGCCTAATCAATATTGCAGCAATTCATGTCTCATCTTGTTGAGCATGACAAGTCAGTGAGCGTTTAATTAAGCATAATAGCATAAAATTAAAACATACCTCACAAAACATTATCGTGGAAGGTTTCTGGGCCAAGATATGAATTGTTCAAATATCTAAGCAGAAACTGTGCTACAAGTACAAAAATCTTGCCTTGAACCTCAGTAAAATCATGTCTTCAGCAGGTTTAAGATAAATCTCAGATAAACAGCACCATCTAGTGGCAGATGTGTGATTTTTAAATGACAAAGAAATTAAGTTTAGTTTAAACCATGGTTATGCATTAAACTGCAGCTTTCAATGACCAGTGGCACATGACTCATTTGAAACTCGGGTTAAACTCTACACCTCAGCTAAGCTAATGACAGAGCAATTGCCCCAGTGGTACAGTAATAACCAAGAAGTCGTTAGGGGGGTATCCCTGGAGGCCATGGGGCACTAACAAGCTGCTTATGTTGCTTATTAGATAGAGCTACCTTAAATGACCACACTACATTCACGTCTTCAGGGAAAATGTGCATACTTGTACAGTGTGATGTCGTACATTTATGTTACCAAACTAAAGGTGCTGAAAATGTACCTTAAAATGTATTAAATGAAACTGTATTCTGAGCAATTTTTCAACCCTACTTTTAATTATTGAAAGGTGATAACTTTTTAATAAAAATATTTTGAGTGTTTTTGGTCATGTTTTACAGTACATTTTACAGTAAATTGCTGTCTACATTAGTTTACACTGACACTGTGTCACGCATTCGATCAACTTTCTGGAAGACACGGACTTCATCTCCCAGAATCCTCTGGAACATCACATGACTGAACATCCGCACTCGGAATCCAGCTCCGGAGAGAACTCCATTGCCCAGAATTCAATGGGGTCTCATGTGACTTTGGACTTTCACCAGTCCAAAGTCGCGAACATATCAGCGTTCTCAATCCCCTGAGTACTAACTATGTTCACCTGTGCATATGATCATATGACAGATAGTTTGCAGTATTTAAGCCCAGGCTTTAGTCTGAAATCTTTGCGAGGTATTGTTTCCTGGAAACCTACTGAGCGTTATTTGCCTGTTTGATTATACTCTGTGTTTTGACCTTTGCTTTGTTTGTTCTGTTTTTGACTTTTTGCCTCTTCCCTTGGTACTTTCGCTGTTCTGACAGATCTGTGTTTTGACTTTTGGCCTGTGTTGTTGACTTCGATTTGAGCTTTGCCCTTTTTGCTTACGGTTGGTTTGGTGCTAATAAACCACCTTCATTTTTACATCCGCAAGCGTCTGATTTTCTATCACCACGTCACACACTGACACTGATGGTCAGAGAGAAATCAAGACTGTTCCCTCCAAGTTGTCACGCATTTGCCAGTATCACAGCATGATATGGACTTCATTACCCAAAACTCTCAGGAGGATCACATGACTGGGCCACTCCCCTCTGACTTGGAAAATGCTAGGGACTCCAATACCCACAATCCCCAGGGGGATGACATGACTTCTGACCATATCTCGCGCTCCTATCAGCGCTCTCGTTCTCCAGATTATAACTATTTGCACCTGTGTTTGAAGATCATATGGTCAGGATAGCATAGTTTATAAGCCCGGGCTTTAGTGAAGTTCAGTGTGAGGTATTGCTTCTTTACGAACTTACTGAGCGTTATTTCTGATCTTTTGTCTACTGTGTTTTTGACCTTGTGTTTCGCTTTCTCGACTCTACCTTTTTGCCTTACCCCTTTTTGGATACTGTTCCCGGTTATTTTGCTGATCTGTGTTTTTGACCTTTTGGACTGTTTATTGACCTGCCCTTTTGTCTAGCCTCTTGGTTTCGTTCACACGGTGATATGATCATCATTGTGTTTTGTAGTTGCTGTTTGATTTTGACCCATGCTTGTTTTTTTGACTTCGCATTTGCTTAACTCCATTAAACTACCTTTCGCCCTTTTACACCGCGAGCGTCTGGATTCTGTTGTATTGTCACACAGGTGAATAACTGCCTCGCCCTGAGAACTTGGAGAACACTCCAGAAAGTCTCATTGAAGAGTAATATTAAGAGTTTAGGAGCTCCTTCAGTTTTCTGAAGATATCAGGAATTATCTTTAGATACAGAACCACTTGAAGAACCTGTGAAGTGACTGAGCTGAACAGACTTAGACCCAGACTGAGTAAGAATGACTTTTCCAAAGCCCCTTCAGATAAAGACAAAATATTCAATGTTTCAGTTAAAAGCGATTTCAGCAACAAAGGGGGCAATGTCTTTAATTTAGATTGAGGTTAGGGCTACGTAGACAGGATACATGTTTGTTGTAGTTTTATTAGGGGTAATCCAAGACTCATAGCAAACACAGACAGAGATCAGAAAATAGGCAGGCACATACACACAGGGCAAATCCACAATCTAAAACCAGTAAAGCAAACCACAGTCTAATGCGAAGACAGCCTAGAACTCAGCTGAGAACGCAGGGACTTCACGAGGCTAAAGACCAGATGAAGGAGTATATGAAGGGCTGGTGATCAGTCCCATGAATGAGTCACAGGTGTGTGTAATAATGAAGGGGTGGAGCCAGGGAGGCCTATTCTAACAGAGGATAGTTAACACAGTTATATTTGCTTTGAATTTATGCAGAAATGCTTGTTGTTGTTATTCTGATATATATATATATATATATATATATATATATATATATATATATACACACACTGTTAATTATTAAATGCTGTATTCATCATTGTATTAAGAAATGATCTCATCTTAA